AGACCGCAGCCGCATCGCGGGTCGAGCTGCTGGAGCTGAGGCGATTCGCCACAGGTGGCCGCAGGCCATGCTTTTTGTGAAGTAAAAACAAGTGCTCTCAGGACTCAGGACTGAAACGGGCCTCAGTCTTGGCAAGTAAACTAACTTAAGGGAGGGCATGGGGAATCCTGCGCGACAAATATGATGAGAAAATGAGCGTGGCTTGGTGTATCTCGGTGTAGAGGCCCTCTTGGAAGATACAACGCGGTTTGACCCTAGGGACTGCAGAAACCCACATGTGCGGTTTCCCCTTAGTTTTCCTTTCACCCGATCCCAAAGGAGGTACCTTCAAAACAACGGCCCATTCAAAACGGAGTCTGGGTCGACCTCAGCTCAAGAAAGCGTGCGGAGAGCAGATCTGTTGCCCCTTTGGGAGGGAGTGGATTTGTTAGCTGGACTTATTCATCGGGTCAGGCAGCTTCTGATTGCAATGGGAATCTACCGTTGCAATCAAAATGCGTCAACACCAGGGCTGGAACCCTGTAGTCTGCCATTTTTCTTGGCCGATATTTGGGGACTGGTTTGAAAGGAATCAACACGCCCTTGTTCAGAAACGCCAAACTCAAGTACCTAGACCCCCAGTGGACGCCTTTCTTTCTGCCTTTGATCCTCAAAAAGCGGTACAAAGACAGAACAAAGGGTCCATTGGGGGTCCAGGAAAGTGTCCTTCGAAGTTTGGTGACATTTAAAGAGAACATCTATTAACCAAAGCTTCTGTGTCAACGGTTCTTTGCGTGACCTCGCCATTAAACAAACTTGCAACCATGTAGAGCACACGCCTGGCTGTCCTCTACTTGTCACAGGAGGTCTCTTCCTGAAAAGACACGAAGGATGCCCTTTTTCCAAGGAGTTTTATTCGTTGGGTGGATCGGGACAAGCCAACCCTTGTTCCGGAAAACCAATGAGCTCGACCGTTGCACATTGGCAAAGGTCGAGAAACAAGGTTTGAGCATGAGGGTTCCTTTCGTCGTGGGGAGCCTGTTCGTTGGCTCGGGTAGTATGCTGCATCTTCAATCCGTGAGCAGTGCATCAGTGCCCAAGGGAAACTGACCAGTCGCTCCGTCCCCGCCTTTGTCAGGTGACTTGAAGCCTGTCGTGCTAGGAACTTGATGAATCCCCAGAGTTGTTTGCATGGTTGAATTCCATGGGGTTGAGGTCCTAAATCAATCGACCCTAGATTCCAGTGCTTCTGGGCAAGTAGACAACTCTTCGGTACTTTTGGCATCGATGGGTTTTTGTGGGTACGCAATGGAAGTGGAAGCACTGGGGATGGCATTGTTCAAGGGAAGCCAAAGGACGCCGAACCACACGTCATGTTTGGGCGCCGATTCTTCGAGATGCCAAATCAATATCAAGAATTGATCGGGGGCCGTCACAATTGCCTCTGTTTCATTTCGGAGAGTCCACCCATTATTTGCGGAAACATTTGGATGGACAACATCCTGTACCAGTTGGGATGCACAATAACCCTATGACTACGGGGACGAACCACCTACCAACCCATGCGCATGTCGATCTGTTGGTCCAAGTCCTATCTTTAGACACAGTTTTGATTTTTGTTGGGGGAACCTTTTTTTTGCGGTTTTAAAAGGACGAAGGAAGAACTATAACGAAATCCATTTTTCGGGGGTCCAAATCCCAAAAGACACTCCTGCGCCCGCAGCTCTCTGCTTTGAGGTGCGTGCACTTTGAGAATCTCGAGGCCAGTCTCACGTCGAGTCTCACCTTACCTCAAATGCATCCTCCCCCCCGCCCCACACCACCCCGCCCTGCTCCGCCCCGCCCCGCCCCGCCCCACCCCACCCCGCCCCCCACCCTACCCCGCCCCGCCCCACCCCGCCCTGCGCCACCCCACCCCCACCGCGTTTTTTCTTGTTGTTTTTTGCAGGGGCGAGTTTGCAGGCACCAAAAAAGGTCCCCCGCCTATCTTTTATAGCCTGAGCACTTACAACCCAGGCTGGGTTGTCAAGTAGTGCCCTTTCAAGAAGATCTCACTTTTCAAGAAGACCTCACTGCCCTGCGTTCCTGGGCTTCATGTTCAAGGCAACACACACGGAAATTGTTGCCTGTGCGGAACCTTTGCCGACTTGAACCTTCCAAACTTGCCGGAACGTTTCGTCCAAAGGCCCAGATTCCCCCCCACTTCAGGGCGTCGGGCTAGGCGAAGCAAAAAAAACGGTTCTTCTGTTTCGCAGGAGATCTGACTAGGTACAAGCGCACGCCGTGTAGGTCCTTTACAGGTCCTTTACTTGATCCAATTCTTTCAGGTTTTGGGCCCAGGATGATTCTTTACAGTATGGGATTTCAAGATTGAATGTTTCCGGGTTGTGACTGATGTTCGTGATTCCAGCAGATCCTTCAGACCACGCGTGGATGCCCTTGGCAGAAAAACTCAACATGATGTGTGCAGATTTCTGGGGACACACGCTTCTCCAAACAATCCGAGTGTGCCCACGTTTGCACCAAACAAATCTTGTGTCCTTGGTCTGACTTGCCCAGAGCTAATCGAGTTAGACATTCCCAGTGCTTCCAGGTGTTTCTCCATTATAGTTTGTTGGGGTCCGCGCTCACAAGAGGCAACAATCCCACAGCTGCTTTAGTCGATTGCCTGGAAGCACTCGGTTTCGGTTTTCCCAAATTGGTTTCCCAACAGTCAAATTGCATCCAAGAAGGTAATCTGGGTAGTCACGTTTGCTTTCCAAATCCTTTGCCAGCGATCGCGAGTTGGTGCCATTTCGCATCAAACAAACCACTTTTTTGGACCCAGTTACAACGAGCTCACCGATTCGGGGGTAAAAAGAGTGAACGCCCATGATAAATGTCGTTTACCAGGGAATTCCTCGTTTCCGCTTTATGAATCATATTTCACACATGTTGCCACGAGAACACCCTGTCTCATGCGGACAGACAACTGAGAGGGGTTTACACAGTAATCTGCCCAAGCCGGCATGACTTTGAATTGGGGATCCTTTGGTGGACATCATTTAGGGCGGGTTTTACGTCGAGGGAGCTTCCCCATATCAATTCACGGCCAAATGTTTTCTTGGGACCCTTCCCAGTTTGGTCGTTTCCGTTTTTTTTGCCTCAGGCGGTGTTCCCCTTCGAGGTGCACAGCCACCGGCCCTTGTCCCGCGCTGCCACGCAGTTCAGGTGCGCGTCTCGAAGTTTCAAGCTTTAGGAAACCAAATTGGGTTTGGGTTTGGTTATTTTGGCTAGGTTTGGCTTTCTTGCTTTGGTTTGCATGGTTTTATTTGGTTTTCTTGGTTATACTTGGTTTTCTTGGTTTTGGTTGCGGTTAGTTTGCTTGATTTGGTTTGGTTTGCTTGACTCGGTTTAGTTCGCTTGGTTTCGCTTGGTTTACCTGGTTTAGTTTGGTTTGCTTGGCTAGGTTTAGTTTAGCTTGTTGGTTTGGATTGGTGTTCGTTGGCTTGGTTCGGTTTTCTTGGATTGCCTTGCTTCTGTTGATTAGGTTTGGCTTGCTTGTTTTGGTTTGGTTATCTTAGTTTGATTTGGTTATTTTGATTTGGTTTGGCTTGCTTGTCTCTTAGTTCGGTTTGGTTATCTTGGTTTGGTTTGGTTGTCTTGATGTGGGTTGGTTACCTTGGTTGGGTTTGGTTTTGCTTGGTTAGGTTTGGTTGTCTTGGTTGGGTTTGGTTGCCTTGCTGTGGTTTGATTTGTGTGGTTCGGTGTGGTTTCTGCTTCTTGTTGGTGTGGTTGGTTAGCTTGGTCGGGTTTGGTTTTCTTGGCTGGGGTTTGGTTACCTTGGCTAGGTTTGATGCGCTTGGCTCAGTTCGTTTTTGTTGGTTGGGTTGGGTTTTTGGTTGGGGTTTGGTTTTCTTGGTTAGGTTTGATGTTTTGCTTTGGCATGTCTTTGGAGGGTTATCTTGACTGGTCTGTTTCGTTATCTGCCTTTCCTTATCTTGGGTTTGTTTTGCACAGGTTTGGGTTGCCCTCGAGTCCTCCCTACCGTACGGCCTTGGGGGTTTGCGGTTGATATTCTTCTTTTTTTGAGCGGTGAACACAGCGACCCTGTGTCGTGGAAGCGGATTCGTGAGACACAGCCATGGGCTCCGGCTAAGCATCATGTCGTTGCCAGCCTGGGTCAAAGATGGTCGAAAGATGTCGAAAGAACGTCCTCCGGCCATATTCCGGAGCAGGATAAACAGCGCAACCCCCCCCCCCCCCCCAAGATTGGCCGATCTAGGGTTCGGTGCCCAGGGGGGTCTTTTTGCCACCTTTTGTGAGAAAATTGGCGACCCCCTGGCGACCCCCTCAACAAGTACCAGGGGGTCAATCATTTTTCCACCAAAGGTGGCAAAAAGACGCCCTGAGCTGCTTCCGGCGAAGCAGTGACACCGCAACAGGCTCCGAGTGGAAGCACTTCGCTTCCCAGTTGTCCAGGCGTTCTTCCTTTCGGGTTGGCTTGCAATTGAAATCAGCCGTTCTTTTTAATCCTGGTTATGAATGCAACTCTGGTAGGATGTGCACCGTTCGGAAAATTGGCGTCCTTTTGTAGGCACGGGGTGCGAGACTGCTTTGGCACATTTGTCCTTTTGCCTCTCCGTGGCTCGAGCTGCGGACAGAAAGTTGGTGCCACATGGATCTGCTCAAATAGTGAGCTTACCGTTTCGGGGGCATAATGAGTTGGGGCCCAAGATGTTTCAATCCCTTACTTGGCCAGTTTGCGATTCATAGCAATATAGGTGCTAGATGACAACAATACTCACTCCTGTGATCATGACTTCATTGGATTTGTTGCTTCCAGCATGAGAACAAGCATGCCCCTTATCCTTTGCTTCTTGAACCAATTGACCAAAAGGGGTAAAGGGACACCCTTTCACAGAAGAAGCACTCTTGTAAATAAAGAAATACCTAGAAACTCTCACATTTAGACGCTTTTGCAGACTCGGAAGAGCGGCTGCATGCTGAGGCCCACGAAAAAAAACGCGTACAGCTGGCAAGGATCGAGCACCGGTTTGGATTCGGAGTCCAGGGGTAAGCCATGGCTCCGAAGAAGGTCAAGGAAAAGGCGGACGGGCCTCTCTCTGAAGGGCTGGCCAAAGATCTAGAGATGTGTTTTCTGGTTGGGTTGTGGCTAGAGTTTCAGCTTGGTCAGGTTTGAGGGTACCCTTTGAAGGGCAATTTGGAGGAGGTCTTCCTTTTTTTTTCCGGGGTGCCCTCATGTAGAGAGTAGCCCAATTTTGGGCTAGTCTTTCCTTCCAAATAAAAAAGACGCTGTGTTTGGCATCCAAATGATACGGAACCAGGAAATGCCAATATTAAACGTCTTTTGCCATCATCGTTGAGCCGGTTTTTTCGGGCGCAGCTTCCAAAGGCGAAATTGTACTGTCCCAGCCACTTTTGAGCTCAGCTTGTTTGCCTCGTGCGCGGTTCATATACTTTGTTTACTTAGTATGCTTAGTATACTTGTTTTATTTTGTCTTTTCGTTATTTCAATTCGTATCGTTACTGCTACGCAGCAACTTTCTCTTCTTTTTCGGAGCTCGAAGAGCGACTAATTATATTAATTGGGCGCGCGCACCTTATGCATGATCAGGTGGGGCCGATCAGCCGATCACGTATAAAACATGCAGTTGCTATGCCCTTTCATTTGGCAGGGCCTTTTGCCAGGAAGCGGGGCCGTGTGGACGCTTGGGAAGCTTTCCCCCCTTTGCAAATCTCCAAACGGGCGTGTCTTCTTCTAGGACTCGGGCCCCCCCATCGGGTGTTCCTTTGGTTTTCCTTCAAACCACCAACAACTCAGTTGTTCAGTGGCACCCTTTTTCCCCTTTTTTTGGTGGCTGCCCCACTAAAAATGGTCTTCCGCAAAAAGGGTTCCCTTTTTTTCCTGGGTCACTGAACAACTGAGAAAAAGGTGGTAGCCTCAAAAACAAAAGTGACGCACCCAACTCGTCGGCTTCCCGGCTCCCCGTCGATCCCAACCTCGCACCAGTCGATGATATGGGTGGCTCCTGTTTTTTTCAGTTGGTACATGAACCTTCAAACTGCCAAACTTGTGGGGTGAATTCCAATTTTTGTGGGTAGTTTGAGGCCATTCTGGGCTGGCAGAAAGGGAAACTGAAAGGACACCAAGAATTTATGGGCCCTCAACATTGACGAGCCACACCCATATTCTGTCTTTTTTTTGTTGGGTACCAGTTTTTGGGGTTGCTTTAAAGTGAACCCAACCTGAAAGCCACCATTTGGGGGGTCCCCTTTAAAAGTACACACTATTGCAATCTTCCAGAACCGACGACTGCTTTTTGGGCAGGGTCCAAAGACACAGGGGAAAACCACAACTGTCACTCAAGAAACTGAGATGGTTTCTCCTCTCGAGGTATTTGAAATGTATTCAATCTCGGGCTTCGACACATTTGGCAAAACAGGGTTTCTTCCATGTTCTTTTTTGGAAATTCCAAAAGTGGCAGTTTTCATGGAAACCACCAGTAAATTGCAGCCTTTGAAGGGGAAACCCAGTGACCCCTGTAAAAGCAGTTGGGTTTGTCTCCAAATTGGGAAACCGTGATTTTGGGTGGTTTGCCTTTGCCTTCGCTTCCAAACAAGCTCAAGAAGGCTACCCTCAGACAAAGAAAGGATATCCAGTCTCCTGCTTACTCCTTCAGTCGTTTACTCTTTCCTTGTCTCATCTCCTTTCTATTTGTTGACATTAGTCAAGAGAACAGAGATAAGAGAGGACCGAAAGAATAGGGATTCATCAACGTTTATCTTTTGGAGCATTTCTATCACGAGAACACCCAAGTGAAAGGGAGCTGACTGGATCTGCCTCGTCAGGTCAAGGCCAAGGCCAAAGGCAAAGCCAAGGCCAAAGCCAAGGAGAAGGCGGGCGAGTGGTACAACCATTGAGACCTAAAGCTGGGTCCATTGAAGTCGTTGCATTCTCAGGGACCACTGCTCAACATACTTGTCAGGGTTTTCCAAAACCCCTTGAAACCAGCATTTACTTTGATTTGTTTAAGTGTTTGTTTCAGTGGTCCCCTGTTGGTTTTACAGGGGATCTATCACTACTGGACATATGACATGTTATCATTTTTCGCAAATGGAGGTTTAGCTCGGGAAAGTCACTTTCATGGGTCCAAGTTGCCGATTGCCAAAGCAATTGTTCCTTGTCTAGAAACCGTGTGAGCGGTGCACCGTTGTTGTTGGCATGGTGTTGGTGTTCTTGTTGTTCTTGTTGTTATTTTTCTTGTTGTCGTTGTCGTTGTTGTCGTTGTTGTTGTTTTTGGTGGTGGTGGTGGTGGTGGTGGTGGTGGTGGTGGTGGTGGTGGTGGTGGTGGTGGTGGTGGTGGTGGTGGTGGTGGTGGTGGTGGTGGTGGTGGTGGTGGTGGTGGTGGTGGTGGTGGTGGTGGTGGTGGTGGTGGTGGTGGTGGTGGTGGTGGTGGTGGTGGTGGTGGTGGTGGTGGTGGGCAGTGGGTCGCTTAGGCGTCGCGCGAATGGTTCGCT